CCAAGAATGAAACCAAAACAAGGAAAAGGACAGCAGACGAATCAGAGTAATTGAGCCAAGTCCTTGATGATTTCATGTCAGCCACTAAGTGAAGCCTCAGCTGAAGTTTAACTGTAAGATCTAATCATTCCTTTTTTAAGCCAGCTTGAATTTTGGTTTTCTGTCACTTGCTATATACAGAATACAGATAAATCTCAGTAAATTCTTGCAAAAGGTGAACCATTCACCTATTTCACTGTGTGGGTGTGTAGGGGCACTGTTGGCATTTTTGAAGAGACAATTCTTTGTTTTGTGGGACCATCCCAAACATCACAGGATGCTTAGCATATCTTGCCTCTACCCATTAATTGTCAGTAGGACCTCACAGTCACTATGACAACCAAAAAATGTCCCCATTTATTTCCAAATGTCCCCCGTCCCCAAGGGGAACCACAATTCCATCTCATAATAGTTGTTATAGGGACCTGTTTCTCACATGGCTCTAACAGGGATGCTTAAATGTATTTAACAGCAATCTTAAAAGAACTGAGATACACCACTCAAATATTCTAATTTTACATAATAATCCATTTTTAACCAGTCATCTATGACTATCTACATGTTTGGCTAAAATCCTATGAATAGCTTACAACAACTCTTGGCATCAACAGTGCTTTAAGTCTGCTACTACTGTCTGAAAATTCTTATATATTTAAACTTACTTCTCCATACAATACTACATAGGTATGTCATTGACACTGTCGGTTACCTTCTCTTCAGCCATTTGCCTATCCTCTTCCTAGACTGAAATGCCACATATTGGTTTTCCCAGCTTCCTGGCAATTAGGGCATGAGCATGCCAGGACGAACATCTGATACAGGACTTCTGTGAAAGGTTTACTTGACTAATCAAGAGATAAGAGGGTAAATTTCCACTGTCTTTGGTAGCTGTGTGAGAATGTGATGCCTGGAGCAGAAAAAGCCATCTACAACCATGATAGGACAAGTCCGAGCCCAAAGGTCAGCACGCCAAGGATAGCCAAGCATAAGATAGAAAGCACGTGGATCCTTGATGGTTGTATAGCTAAGGTGACTAACATGAAATCCTCCAACTATGGATTTCATTTTATGTGAGACACTGTTTAAATCACTGTTGGGTGGGTATTATGTAACCTGGGGCCTAACTAATACAAGATGACTTCAAGATCTGACAACTGATTGACAATGAGAGAAGAACCAAGATGACAGCAAGGTTTTAAGACTGGATGGCCAAGAGAAAGGTGGTTAGAAAAGAGAAATCAGGAGGAAGAGGAATACAAATATACACATGCATGTATAAACACACTAGGTGAGAGGAGGTGAAAAGAGAGATTTAGTTTGGTATGAGTTAAACTTATGCCAGTACATCTAAGGCAGAGATAATTAGCAAGCGGTTAAAGTGGAACTGGAGTTACACAACTGAGAAATGTCCACACAGAAATACTGATTTATATCATTAAAAAAAAGATACGATCACCAAGAAAACAAAGTGAAAAGCATACAGAACTCTGAGGACACTGGTTACCTCCCCAGGATCCATTCCACCTCCTCTACATTATGCTGCAGTCCCTATCTTTAGATGGGATTTACTCTACTGGCTAGGCCAATTAGAATAATTTGATACCTCTGGATGAATTAATTTTGTTAAATTAATTGTTATAATTAATATTGTTAAATATTGTTATAGGGTTGGAGGCACGATCTTCTACGTTTATTCAATCAGAGTAGAGCATAGAACTTTTGGGAAAAATCTAGGAGAAGAGAAGTCTTCTCTCTCCCTCTGGAAGTAAATAAAGGAGGCTGTAACATGAGCATTGCTGGTATCTTTTTATTAAGAGGGAAGCCAGCCTGAGCATAAAGCCCAAACAGGAGGACAATGCTCAAAGAATAGCCAAGAAATGGGACCTCAGGCCTGATGACCTCTGAACAAAACACTCTTCAAGCCAATTCTATCTATGCACTTGCCAATTAATTGAGCCAATATATTCTTTTTGTTTTTAAATCTCATTTGCAGATCCTAACTGATGCAGGGAACAGCTATGTTTAGGGGCAAGAACAAAGTCAAGACTAGAAAATGTGAAGAAACTTTAAGAGAAATAGGAAATCAGGAAGTACAATGCAAGAGAACCAAGAAATTAAATCATTTTATTACTACAAAATAGAGTAATGTACATTTCACAAATGGTCTAAGGAAACCAAGGATGACAGAGGAAAGGCCATTGGATTTGGTGATTAGGAGGTCACAGGTGACTCAAAAACAGCAATTTCAGTGGTGAAATGGTAAAGGAAGTCACAGTGCAAAGGACAGAAAAATTTATTAAGAATTCCACAATGCTCCGAACACTTGGTTGGGCATATATGATAACTAATTCCTTTAATTACCACCCTGTGAAGTATAATATCCTACATTATAGATACAGAATAAATCCTGAGTAGTAACATGTCCACAGCCACATAACTACCAAGACTTCAAACCCAACATCAAAAAATGTACTTGCTCAAAAGCCAATGTTCTATACCAGTCACCTGGGTTGAAAGAACGAGTCTTTAAGGAAAAGAATAAAAATACAATAGCGCAGTAGACTCAAGATTCAGAATGGCCTCCTAGGGCTGAGCAGCACACAGCACTTGTATTTGGCAGCATATATGTAGGCTAGAGAGGCAGAGATTGAAAACTGAAGGCAAGTGATAATAGACAGTTCTGGAGAAAGAGAGATGGTAAGGGATGATCGTGGACATATCTGGAGGGGGTTACTCTTGAAAAGAAGGAAGGACATTTCTTCCTCTGAGATATGAGTAAATAAGGAGATAATACTGACCTGAAAAGAGTAGAGTGTATCTCAAATAGTTGAGATTTTTCTCAGTAAAGGACAAAATCAAGTTATTTGCTATAAAAACCTCTGGGAAATGAGACAAAAAGGAACACAACACTAAAGACCCTGCAGAGAGCACCAATTGGTATGAAAACAAACCAATACCCTTACATAACAGTCTCTGGAATCCCTCAGGATTGCAGGAGTCAAAATGACAAAGATAGTGATGAGTCTTATTTAGGATTGGGGATAAAATCCACAGAAAGTGAAGCATTCTAGGCCATCAATAAGAGCTTATTAAAAATGGATGACCATGGCATCCTGGTTATCTAGGGAAGCAAATGAAATAAGTAGTAGGCTAAAGAGCTGGATGACTAGAGAGACAAGGAAGGTTCACAGAGAGTGACATACATAGAGAGAGAACAGGGTCTGTAACAGTGGAAGAGTGACAAGATTTAAGAAGAGATTGTGGTCAGAGATTTTTTTTGACACAGAGCTTCAAATCATTTTGCCAAAAGCAATGAGTCACTGATTGGGGCTCAGCAGCCCCTACATTCCTACTGTCTCTTCAAACATAAAGCACAAAGTTGAGAGACAACCAGCTCTAAAAACATGCAGCCTTTGGTTGTAGAAAAGTAAAGACTAGCGACAAACAAATTAACTAGCTCATTCAAGAATCAAACATGAAAACATTCCTCCTTCTTTTAAACCAAACAATTCTATCACTAAAATTTAAAAATTCATTAAGAGGTCAGAAGTCTACAGCAAAGGGAAAAACAGATTATGTGTCATGAGGTAAGATGAAAAGTAAACAAATCTGTCGGGCCAATTACAACCCACATATTACGATCTTTAGTACATAATTCTAACAGAGCAAGAGTAATTTCTGCTTAATAACTTTGGAGAGCACCTACCATAGCTTCAAGAAGATGATATTGCTCAACTTAATGTTAATTAAAAAAAGACTCATCCATTTGCGGTCTCAAAGGGCAAGTTATTTATATTTTTAATCCCACTTCTACAATTTAGGGGCTCTTGACACATTATCCAACTACATGGAAAATGGAAGAATCAGCCTTGGCCACTTCCTCCACTATCACTTTGATCCTGCAGTTTGCACTTATGAACTCTGGCAAGGCACCATGTTACTTAGGAATTTTTTTATACTAATAATTCTGACTACCTTTGTCTCAGTAACAAAGGAGGGAGAACTTAGACTGGCACAAACCTAAGTTTTATAGAAAATATCAAGTACTATAAAAATTGTTAAGCAGTAGCAACAATCGAGAATACAATAAATTTGAAAAGTTCTGAGTTTAAAAAGCTTTTCTCCATTTTAGTCCTTTCTAAATAAAACACAGCGCTTGTACAATCAGGATTCTAAAGCTTCAGTGGGCAATTTAAGCTAACACTGAGTAAAAGAATAAATCACTTGTCCTTTCTTATGCCATTACATGATATCTTACATATAAAGTCTTTTTAAAACGAAATAACACTTCCCAATGTTTTTACTAGATCTAGAATACTCACGCCTCTGCCTCAAAAGTTCAGAGACCAAAGATTTACTGCAGTCCGAGGAGATTAATGATTTAGATGAATAATCATTTGCCATTCCAAACACCATTCCTCTACTCTTGAGTTCAGTGGGTCAAGGAGTCAGACTCTCCAGCACCATCCCAGCAATGCCCTAGGAACTTGATTCCCTCACGGACGTGAACAAAATTCACTGGCCTCTGGATAACAAGCATTTTCTTTGTAATTCCACATGCCAGGCTATAGGGTAATCTTCCCAGAGTTAAAAACTTTTAAAGGAAGCAAGAGGGTCGAAACGAGGAAGATGAGGAAGCGACTAAAATAGAAGGGACGGAAGACCCACCCACCTAACGCGAATAGGGGCACCGCTTGCAGGGGTGAAGCTTCATCAGGAGCCCGGGAAGGTGCGGAGGAAGGCGGGCGTCGCGACCCCCCACCCACTGTGTGAGAATGGAAGACCTGCAGAGCTAGGGGCCAACTGGAGGCCTGAAAGGGGGCTCGGGGCGGGGAGGGGGAGGGACGTGGAGACAAGAGAGCCACAGAGTCTGGACGGGCTTCAAAGGGTCCCGAGCAGCGGCGGGGCAAAGACGAGCTTTTGCCGGGGGAGGAGACGCCAGTACTCGCAGCCTCACTCACCTGCTAGACGCTCGCCCCGCGGCCAGAAGCACGGGCGCCGCCTGTGCGCTTCCTCTCCTGCCGGACACAGCCCCTGCCGCTGCCGGAGCCCCAGGACCCGAGAGTTGAGGGTGGTACTGAAGCGGGCAAAGCGGCGACCGGACCCGAGCCCAGGGAGGTGTACATAGGGAGCGCCGGGGGCCCAGAAAGGCAACTCCGTGCTTCACCTTCCTCACCGGTAGTCAACAATCCTTCCCGGGAACAGCATCGCGCCAACCCCGGCCCGCTGCTCCCGGGCCTTGGCCCGCAGCTCCCCCCCAGCAGCAGCCGGGTTTCCGGCGGCCACACTCCGCCTCCTCACTACTTGGCTTCCGCCATCTTGTTGGAGGCGGGAAGAATACAGTGCGCACGCGTGAGTGGAGGTGCTGGCGTCCCACTACCAGAGGACAAGAGGACTGTAGTGCGCAGACGCATTGGCTCCTGCGCTCTGGCTGCTGGGTCCTACCTCGCGGCCGTGTCCTGTGCGCCATTGCTACGTGGGAAGCCAAGCCTCCTCTCCTTTCGTGGACTGTACTGCATCCGAATTATTAATAGACCCTTCTGCACACACTAAAGTTTCTTATTCTGCAAATATCTATCGAGCGCCCACTCCGTGCCAGGCCCCGGGGTAGGCGCTGATGATAGATGAATAAAACTTGGCTCCAGCCCTAACGGAGCTCATAATCTAGTGGAGAAGATGGAGACGAACGAGTTCTTGTTTTGTAGTTACGGTCCCTCCGCCCCATCCCACTCGAATTTTAATTCAAAACATCTTTTCTAAGAAGTCCTCCGTGTTTGTCTTACACAGTTTGATCAGTTCTTTACCTTGCATTACCTCTCCAACTTAATTTGATTCAACATTAATTCAATAAACAATACCACTTGGGTTTCTGTTATGTACTAGATAACTCTTCCAGGCTCTAGGTTTACAGGAATAAGGAATATAAACTCATGGAACTTACATTCTGGTGTGAAAGAATAGACAATGAAAGACCGAAATAAATCAATAAAATAATGTTTGATGGTGTTAAGGGATAGGAAGAGAGCAAACCACAGAAAGATGGAGACTGAGTGGCAGTGATTAGCGATCTCTCTCCAAAGCTGACGTTTGATCTGAGGCCTGACTGACCACAGGGGGCCAGGAGCCATGGGAAAATCTGGGGGTAGGGCCTTTCGAAGAGGGAACAGCAAAACCGAGGCCTGAGGTAGGAATGAGTCTGGCGCGTAAGAGGGACAGAAAGAATAGGCGGCATGGACATGGGAAGAGATGTGGTCAGGGGGAGTCGGGGGCCAAATCAGGTAGGGTCTCGAGGCCACCATAAGAAGTTGGATTTTATTCCAAGTGGTCCCTCTCACTTTCTGACAAGTGCCCCCAATTACTCTTCTTCAAATACTTCTAGCTCCTGACTGCCTCACTGCTTTGTACATGCTGCTAATCTGACTACCTGGAAAACTCTTCTTGTTCTTTAAGTGTCTAACTTCTTGTTGTCTTTCGGGTTTCTGTTTAAATGTCACCTCAGAAAGGCCATCCTTTTTAAGTAAATCTCTCTCCTGCCCTCACCATTATTCTCCATTATTGCACCTTACCATTTCTTCATGGCACACAATATATTGTTAAATTATCTATTCATTGTTTCTTCACTGTCTCCCCACTGAACAGTGAACTCTGTTTGAGAGGGAAGGTGTTTTGTTCACCAATGAATACCCAATGGCTAGCACGATACCTGGTATGGTTGGTCACTCAATAAATGTCTGTTGAAGTAATGAACGTGGAGGTTTGTCAGCATCTAAGTAGTTAGTGGTGCATTACATTGGTTTTTACTTCTTGGTTTTTAAAATTAAATGCAATTTGCTTCCTATCTATATGTCTCCTAAACTAGATTATACATAGGAACCATGACAGGTGGGGGGAATGGGATGGAGAAGGGTGGGTGATGGTGGGTCAGTGGGCAGAGATTGTATTGCACATATTTGCAGGACTGGGAGAAGGAAGGCTTTAAGTTAATAGAACACCTATGTACTATGTGTGCACTATGCTACATACTTAATCCTTACCACAGTTCTGCTAGGTAGTTCTTATACATGGGCAAATTCAGAGAGATTAAGTCACTTACCTGAGATCACACAGTAAGGGATAGTGCTGACCCTAAAGTTCATGCCCTTCTCATCTAGAGAATTTGGATTTGGAGACAGGCTTATCTGGTGAGCTGGCTCTGTCAGCAGACTTTCATTAGAGGTTTCAGCTACTGCCATTTAAGAATCCCAATCATATTGCTATTCTTGTATAGGACCTCAACAAAGGGCCTGATTGGAAACTGCTGTCATTCTTTTGTTTTGGACCAGAACACAGCTCATTTTACCATTTTCTTTTAATTTTTTCAAAGTTTTATATTTCTATTACTAACTTTTCATTAAAGGAAAATAAGAAATTCCAGCAAAGATCCGTCTCCTAAATGCTAGCTGCATCCCTTGGTTAGGCTTCTTTGCTATATGACTAGTTCTCCCATCTTGCTCCAAACTGATACCTTAGACCCCAATGACAGTCCTCTGGCAAAGAGTTATGGCAACAATCATTGCAACAATCACTTCTTCCATGGATGTAGAATTACACACCATTATTTCCCTGTAAACAGGATAGCTGCCTCAAAATGGCAGAGGGAGACCTACTAGAAAGGATGGAGCAGCTATCTTATTTGTGGGAGCCATTTAGTCCTTTTATAAGGGAAGAGATATACTAAACTCATGATTACACCTGCTCATCAGCGAAATTCAATCATCCATGTGCAAACCAAATAGTACGTGGGAATACAGACCTGAAAAGACTCCCTCACCTTCTAACCCACTATAATGCAATCTTTGGAATAAATCCTGGAAATAGGACAATGTCTTCAGTTTCTGTGGTATCCTCTTAATCATCCATATGCAAACCAAACAGTGGGAATACATACTTGAAAAGACTCCCTAACTTCTAACCCACTATAAAGCAATCCTTGGAATAAATCCTGGAAATAAGACAATGTCTTCGGTTTCTATGGTTTTCTCTTCCGTTACGATTACCTTCTGTTATGGGTTGAATTGTGTTACCCCAAAAAAGACATGTTGAAGTTATAATCTCCAATACTAAAGAATGTGACCTTACTTGGAAATAGAGTCATTGCAAATATAATTAAATTTAAAATGAGGTCATACTCAGTAGGGTAATGTAACCCACTGTGACTGTTGTCCTTATAAGAAGATGACCACAAGGAGACAGAGACAGAAAGAGAGAAAGCCATGTGAGGACAAAGGCAGAGACTGGAGTTATGCAGCTACAAGCCAAGAAATACCCAAGATTGCTGGCAAACCATCAGAAGCTAAGAAGAGGCAAGCAAGATTTCTTTACATGTTTCAAAGGGAACATGGCCCTGCCAACACTTTGATTTCAGACTTACAGCCTTCAGAACTGTGAGTCAATAGATTTCCATTGTTTTAAGCCTATCTAATCTGTGGCTCTTTGTTACAGCAGCCATTTGAAATTAACATACCATTTTATGTATATGGCAGAGCCTGAAATAGAGGAAAGAGATGAGAGTAGGCAGCAAGGAAGGCTGGGCTGCTGTTCCAACTTGGTAGCAAATCACCTGCAAAACCTCAGGCTGGTCACTGAGTAATAGTTTACTCATCTGTACAAACAGAGGTAATGATAGCTGCCCTGCCAACCTCAGAGATCTGCAGTGATAACTAACAAGTATTCTTCCAGTGATGCTGGAGCAAGAGGGTCTGACATATACTAAGAAACAATTATGTAAAAGATAGAGTTACTGACACTGGGAATTTTACAGCATGGTTGAGAAGGAAGGGAATTTTCCTATGATAAGATAACTAGCACAGGCCAAGTGCTAAGTGTGTGTTTTGGATCTTGTTCATTATTGATGCTGAAAGGAGGACTGGGATGGAGAGGGAGACTTCATTAACAGCCTTAGCAGAAAAGGAATTTTTAGAGGGGTATTGGATACCTACAGGATCTTCAGGAGCAAGACTCAACATTATGCCTAGAACTGATCTCAAGAAGCCACCACTGTAGCCACTGCTGATTTTAAGAATACTTGAACTGGAATTAGAAGTCTTGGACTTTAGTTATGTTTTCTATCTGTGCAAGTTACCTCTTTGGATACCTCATCTCATCTTCAGTAATGGGGGGTAATCATATCTATTTCAGGCTTGTTATAAGAATTAAATGAAATAGTGCATGTGAAAGTGCTTAGCACCTGGTGTATTAGTCAGGGTTCTCCAGAGAGACAGAACCAATAGGACACACACACACACACACACACACACACACAATATGTATGTATATATATTTTATATATATATAAAATGTCTTCTTATATAAGAAGACATTTAGTATAGGAAGTGACTTATGTAGTTATGGAGGCTGAGAAGTCTCATGATCTGCTGTCTATAAGCTGGAGAGCCAGGGGAGTTGGTGGTGTAATTCAGTCCAAGTTCAAAGGCCTGAAAATCAGTGGGCTGATGGTCTGGTCTGAGTCTGAAAGCCTGAAAAACCAGGAGTGCTGATATCCAAGAGTAGGAGAAGATGCCCATCCACAGTGGTGAGAGTGATCTTCTTAGTATGCCAAGTCAAATGCTAATCTCTTCTGAAGACACCCTTAGAGAAACACCCAGAAATAATGTTTTACCAGTTATCTGAGCATCTCTTAGCCTACTCAAGTTCACCACAAAATTAACCATCACACTTGGCAAGCATTCACTAAATGTTACTTAAATCTGAATATTTGGCTAAAGACCTAGATAAACAGCAAGGAGGTCGAACTATGTCCCAAAAGCCAAGAGGAAATCTAGGGTAAAAACCCAGAAAATATGTACTTCAGATATCTCAACTCTGCCTTAGCTTGGACAAATTAAAATGTGTACTTGTTTCCTAAGCCCATTTCTTCTCTGAAGCCCTTACATGTCATTCCTGGCTAGAGGTCATTTCTCCTCTCACATCCTATAGTTGTTCTTTGGGCAGGATGACATTGTTGTTTCTTGGGCTCATGCTTTGTCTTCTTCACTAGATACATACCCGAGGGCAGAGACCATGTCCTATTTATCTTTGTATCTATCTCCCACAATGTCTTGAGCTGAAAGCATCCAAACAAACATGATTAGCAAAATTTGATAATTTTAGAAGCTGGATGATGAGTAATTGAGTATTCATTATAATATTCTTATGACTTTTGTGTATGCTTGAAATTTTTCATAATAAAAAGTTAAAAAAAAAGATGACTAAGAAACT